AAAAAAAAAAAAAAGCATATTTAGACAAACTCTCGCTAAATTCCATTCAACGGCCAAAGATCAAAGTTGAGCTTAGATGCTTGCTTACAGTGTATATTGGAGAGTATCCTTAGCAGGCTGATTAATAAATAATTACTACCCCGCTCGTCATTGTTATTGACCGCATTTACAACATTCTCAGGGTGTGTTTTCCTCCTCCTTTTGTTGTGCCCGGCTAAACGCCGGCGGCAACTCCTCTTGCCTTCATCAAACTCTAAAAGGACATGAAACCTGCACATATCAATGTTTTTACTAATCATTGCTTATCTTACTAAGCACCAGTTTACACCAAATAATACTTGCTATACAGAAAAAACAGCATACACCGCAGATTACAAAAACTAAAATAATATAATCCAATAAATAAATAACCTGCTACATTGCTGGCAAAACCTCTGCATAACATTTCCAACTAAAGCGCTTGTAGCCTTAGAATGCAAGTCACACACTTTGTGCCGCCGGTGATAATCCTTTGCGTTGCTCAAATCTGCTTTGCAATCCTCCACTTGGCAAACGGCACGGCCCGACTGCGGGCCCGCCACTTTTGTCTTCTTACCACTTTTACCCTGCAAACGCACGTCATCATCCAGAAGGTCCCCCTCCGGGTAAACTTGTGCCCCGAGCTTCAGATTGAGAGATCCACCGGCCTCGTCATTCTCGATTTCGAAAACCCTTCTTTTTTTCTCCGAATCCCTGTTCTCCCGATCGAGGCCCGGCATCAGTTCTTCCGGGCCCGGCAGAAAACAGCTCGAAGCCGCTGCCTCGGTGGCAGATCCAACGGGAAAGAGCTGGCTGCTTTTACAATCTGACGGCAAGGGATTAAGAGGGGCAGCCAAAAACAAATCACCATCCCATCTCCACTCATTTAAATCCCATTCCAAACTCTTTTTCCCCAAATCAGACACCACAGGACCATAAAAATTATGCAATTTTATCGTGGTCTCCATTTTTATCACAAATCTGAATTTACACACAAAGTTCAAGAAAGAGAAGATCAAGAACAATCAAAGAGAACCCTCAAACGACGTTAATCTCAGACAAAACCACTTCCCAATCGGCCTCACCACAAAACCCGAAAACAAAGAGAAGCCCACCGACACATCCATGGCCAGTAACAACTTCACCTTATAATTGGACCCATTGCCCAACAGAATTCATGTCGGCCACGCTTTTATATCAACAAAAAAGATTCAACCTTTGATCCGAACAACAAAGAGAGAAAACTATTTCGTCTATTCAACCTTAGCTAAAGCTGATTAAGATGAGAATGAACTGAGAATCGATCCGGCAAAGATCGTCGGCGGCGATTAACATGAGATGAGAAGAGAGAGAGACTATTTGGACACGGTTAGACTCCTAATAAAGAAAAAATGAGATGGGCATCATGAAATACTACTGTTGTTGCTTTTTCTTGTGGTGATGAATGATATTTGTTGCATTTTGTTCAGTAAAAACAGGTAACACAGTACACAAATAGCGACAAGAAAATACAAAAAATTAACAAGAAAATAAAGAAAAAAAAAAACGGCAGTACACATAATTACTAAGTCAATTAATTTCAATGACAGGCCAACTTCAAGGAACCTAAGACTAGGAAAAGACGCGTATGATATGCATCTTGTTGTCCTCAAGCTCACCTCACAGTCACAGTAAAAAAAAGTTGATATGCAAAGGTTTTTACAGTAAGCCATAGCTGCCCAGTAATTCTTTTCATTTCTAATCCCCCATTACTGTTATCCTATCAAGATTGGTTTTTTTTTTTTTTTTTGTCCAAACGTGGGTGCGAAAAACCAGAAAGTTTGGTGGCCACCGTTTTGAAATTTACAAGTTAGTTCGTACCTCAATTATTGAACCAATGGCAACTTTACTAGAAAAAAAAAGCAAAAAAGGTGAAAATAATTTACTGAATTGGGTTTGCACGGGTTAGTTTTATTAGGGTAGTGAAAGACCTTCGACAAATGAATTCGGGAAGTCTACATCCATCGGGCGGGCTGGGAGTGAAAGACCTTCGACAAATGAATTCGGCCTTGCTTATGAAATTAGGCTGGGAATTACTAACGAATTCGGAGCCCCTTTGGGTGAAGGTACTAACGGCGAAATACAGCTTCAATGTCTCGCAGATCATGGAATCGTTTCCTATGAAGCGGGGATCTGGCCTATTTCAAGCACTAAGTAAGGTCTGGCCCAAGGTGATTAGTGGGGTGCGATGGGTTCTTGGTAACGGCGAAACGGCCCGATTTTGGCTCGACCCGTGGCTCGGTGCTAACGGTCCATTGATAAGGTATGTACCTCAGCCTGTGCACATCGGAAATATCCACTCCAAAGTGGCGGACTTTGTGGACGACGATGGGCAGTGGAAATGGACCTGCTTTCATGGGATTCTTCCCTCGTCCATACTTCTACACATTGCAGGCGTTCTCCCTCCGAGTAGTGAAGCTGGTGAGGATCGAATTATTTGGGGCTTTTCCGGTGATGGCAAATTCTCCACAAAATCTGCGTATCAGGCCCTATCCCGAACGGACAGCGACCCCGACCATGCCTTATGGAAGATTATCTGGCAAGCTCCGGCACCTCAAAGAGCTCGTACTTGCTTATGGCTGGTAGCTAAAGAGAAAATTCTCACTAATGTCGAACGCATGAGGCGACATTTAGCTGGTTCTGCAAATTGCGATTTATGTGGGAATTGTGAGACCGTTATTCATGTGCTAAGGGACTGCCCTTTTACCACAGTGCTTTGGAAGCAGCTGCTGCCGCCTGACCACGATGGAAGTTTTTTCCTACACCCTCTAAAGCTTTGGCTGCGGAAGAATCTTTTGGTGCGACAAGGTAGAGAGCTTGTGGGATGGAGCTGTAAGTTGTCGATTGCGGTCTGGAAAATTTGGCAATGGCGCAATGAGAGGATCTTTGAGAATAAAATCCCAACGGTAGAGACGAGGAGATCTGAGGTTCTGAGGCTAGCGGATAGCTATTCCCGGGCAGTAGCAGATTACGCTAAGGTTGGAGTGGCGAGGCATGTCATACGTATGGTCCAGTGGACTCCTCCAGATGTAGGATGGATTAAAGTCAACAGTGATGGTGCCTTCGACATCACACCGGGCTGGGGAGCGCAGGAGGTTTGATCAGAGACGAAATGGGACGGTGGATTAAGGGGTTCGTGATGAATATCGGACAATGTACCATTACCGGTGCCGAACTCTGGGGGCTTTTCCAAGGACTAAAATTAGCGTGGGATTTGGGACATAGACATGTGAGTGCCGAGGTCGATAGCCTATGTGTGGTGACAATGATCCGAAACCAAGAAGGAGCAAATGGGCCCCATGGCTCGCTGATCAAGGCAATTCGCGACATGTTAGATAGGGAGTGGACAGTGAGAGTGCACCATGTGCATAGGGAGGCAAATTTTGCGGACGATCACCTTGCCGGAATGGCGGCATCACAACCAATTGGACTACAGCGTATATCTACTCCCCCCCGGGAGTTGAGAAGTTGGCTTGAGCACGATGTTTTAGGGGTTTCTTATCCCCGACGAGTATTAGCTTAAGGCTTCGGCCTCCTTTATTGTACCAAAAAAANNAAAAAAAAAAAAAAAAAAAAAGTAAAACGCATTTATTGGAATAAACAATATGTAACTTATATATTATTGAACATATTTTTATACACAATATTATTTGTTTTGGTCTTTTAGTACATAGTCTATCACCATGAATGGTATTAGGATTCGAGATAGGCTTAAATAAATCAATTAATTATTCAGCATGATATATATAATACTCCCTCCTATTTTTTTTTAAATGTCATTCTAGTTTTTTCAACTATTTGCCAAATAAATATCGTTTTGGATCTTTTGTACATATATTTCCATTATTACTTTCATTTAGTAATAAATACATTACGTCTCTTCATATTCACTCGTCACTTTTTCTCAAAACATTCATATCTATCTTCATTAAATAAGGTTATTATTGACAAAAGAAATATTTTTAATTAGTGTGCAATTTCTCAAAACGACATATATTAAAAATATGAGGTAGCATTTTGTAGGTGTATGCAATCAATATTTATTTTGTAAGTGTATTCAATCAATTTTAAAATTGTATTGTAAAGGATTAAACAAAACCCAAATTTTTAGGATGTTCCAATCCGATTTCATTTTGAATTGCAAATTAATATTATCTGACTCTATTTTTATGTTTAAAAAAATCTGAACTAGAGAAAGTAATAGCCAAATGATAAGGGATTTTTAAATTTTATGCAATCCGATTTTTTTAATAAACATTATCTTTTGCAATTAGGTAAACATACATGTTGTACTATTTTGCCTAATTCGATATTCCCGATTGCATGAACATATTTTTGTTTAATAAAAATTGAGAGAATTTTCACTTTTACAAAATTGTCATGCCGAATTTTACATAATTTAACTCGATTTCTATGCAATTTGAATTTTTTAATAAACAATTAATTTGGTGCAATTAGTAAAAGATATATGTGATAGTATTTTGCCCAATTCAAAATTCTCGATTTTATGGTAATCAGTTTTTTTCTAATAAAAAATAAAAAAGAATTTTGACTTTTGCAACATTGTAAGCGTAAGTCAAAATTTACCTAAATTAAATCCACAAAACCCTTGAATCTAGGGTGCATATATAACTGACTGATTTTTCTTAAGAATAATTTAAAAAACTGCAAAAAATATAATGCAATAAATGCCGGTTGACTTTTCTTGTTACTATTTTTGGTAAATAAGTTGTCTCTTTTTATATACTAGTATGTAACATGTGCGATGCACAGACTGTATTTATTTTTTTTTTAAAAAAAAACAAATTATTATTTTTTTAAAAATAAAATAAAAGAAATACTAAAGATTATGAAAGGGAAAAGAAGAGCAGTCTCATAGTTCCACTTCCTATGAGCTCTAATTTATCTTGCTCTTATAATAACAATGGGTAAATTATACTATTATGATCGGCATCTGTATAACCATCGATTTCACTGCACCTCTCGAACTTGGTCGTCGTAAAACAGAATCCGACCGTCAAAGTCAACAAGAATCAATTTCTCATTATTGTAGAGACCCATCACCCTGAAAACATTAACATCCTCCGGAACTTGAAATTTGCTCCACACCCAAATCAGAATCCACCAAGAACCTTCATTATACTTCTCATTATCTGCAAAAACAACGGCAAGCGACCCGTGATACTTTGCAAGAGCCAACGTTGGGAACCACATGTACCTCTGCACGTCCGGCAAGGGAATGAGATCAGCCGAGAACTCTTGGCGGCTGAAACAACTGCAGCACCGAACGTGGGCCAATAGTAAAAGCCATTTATGTGAATGCAGTATGGGCTTTCGAGCTTGATATCGTAGAAGTGGTACGGGAAACGGATTTACCTCCACAAACCGGTGCAGTACCCCTCTCATCTTAGGGGGATCTCTATCACGGTGATCAATATGGGGTGGATCATAGGAACACCTGAATACCTTATAGTCCCCTGAACCAGAGTCGAACCCAACGCCCCAAAAGACATAGAAAGAGTCATCTAAGGGTTTCACCTGAAATTGAGGAATGTGTCTGACCTCGTCGGTCGTGGGGTCCCACAGGAATGGGTCTTCAAAATTGGAGCCCAACACCACCCATTTGTCGCAGCCGGCGAGGAATTCATAGCCGGCGCTGCTGTTAAGCCGAGAGAAATTGGGGCGATTATTGGGTTGAACAGGTTTGAGCCACTTGTTTTCAATTGAGAATAGGGATAGTTTGTGGCATCCGTTGTTGGTACGTGATGGAGACGAGATCGCATTGGCGTTTATGCAGAAATACGACCAGATGCCTTCTTTAGTCTAGTTATTTATTTCCTAGCTTTTATTATTATTCCATGTTTTATTTAACATTTATTTAAGTATTATTCCCTTATTTAGGATGTTTAGGAGACCTAGGATTTGGAGA